TTTACCGAATCGATTCTTTTCGGCTGTCCGATTCAACGATGTATTTTCATTCTTGGGTGTGTCAGTATTAATCAGTATTAGTCTGTATTAAAATATTTTTAAAATATTAGTGAACATTAGTAACCATCACTGAAAACTCCATTATGTTACCCACAGTTATCCTTATTAGTCACATATTTATTTTTTGAACTGAAGGAATCGCTGAAAACACAGACAGAAAGAGGAATCGATCTACAGTCTGATGATGGAACATAATCTACAGTGTCATATTTCATTCTGTGACGTTGCGAGACTGAATTGTGTAAAAACCAGTTTTATTATGAATAGACTCAGTTCGTCCTGTGAATCGGTTCGTCTGTTATACTGAAAAGAACCGATACTAAAGAGCCGATTCTTTCCCGAGTCCGTGTATCGCTGCAGCACGCGGAGAGACTCGGATTTGAGGTGAGTGGCACTCCGATCAATAAAATGATCAATCAGTTATCCGATCACTCGTCATCAGTAGCGGTGCGGTATCGATATGATGGAGCTTCAGCCGCAGCGGTGCTGATGTGTGAACGCGCTGCTTCAGTGTTTCTCGCTACAGCAACAACAACACGCCCATTTCATCCTCATCAACTCAGACTGTACTGGGTTTACTGGAGCAGATCCAGTTCAGACAGGCATTCAGGACTGATAGGAGATCAATACTGATAGATTAAAAAAATCAGCTATTATCATTTCATTATAGACGGGGTTGAAGTGGGAGTCTTATTGGAATTTTCCGTTCCACCTTAAATGCTGCAGCAGTTACATTCTGGCGCCTCAAGCACCAGAATGTAACAGCTGCAGCATTTAAGGTGGAACGGAAAATTCCAAAACGAGGCTGAAGAATAAGCTCACTGAGCTTGGCTAATTACCAGCACACAGTCAGGCATCTATAGCACATCTTCACCAGCAGGGTTCCTCCATCATGTTCCAGGAGGAACCCACCCTGATCTCTCCCCTCAGTTTAACCTCCTGCAGGGCTTCAGGGATCTGAAGCTCTGCTGTGGAGTGAATGTCACTGACTCCTCTGTTTGATGGACCTGCAGGGTTTTGGGGATGGAGGAGGAATCGGGCCCGGAGGTCGTGACTCCGGCGCTGCGCAGGCCGGAGGAGGTGGAGGGGACCACCAGAACACGGAGAAAGAAGAAGAAGAAAAAGGAGATCATCTACCGCTCAGAGGCGGAGGACCAGGATGAGGCCGAGGGCTCGGCGGTCACGGCTGAGGGCGAAGGGTCAGAGGGAATGGACGGAGCCCTCAGCTCTCCGGCGGGAGAAGGTGAGAGAGAAACAGACGCTTGGGGTTCCTGGGGTTCCAGGGGTTCCAGGGGTTCCAGGGTTCTCTGATGTTGGTGGAAAATATCTCAACAGTTTCAGGATAAAAGCTTCCTCACATTCAGAGAACAAAAACAAGAGGTCAAAGAGTTGTTTTAGGGTGTTTGTTGTTTCTGGGTGTTTGTTGTTTCTGGATGTTTGTTGTTTTATGGTGTTTGTTGTTTTAGGGTGTTTGTTGTTTTAGGGTGTTTGTTGTTTCTGGATGTTTGTTGTTTTATGGTGTTTGTTGTTTTATGGTGTTTGTTGTTTTTAGGTGTTTTGTTTTTGGGTGTTTCTTGTTTCTGGGTGTTTGTTGTTTCTGGGTGTTTATTGTTTTAGGGTTAGTTTGTTTCTGGGTGTTTTTGTTTTGTTTGTATTGGGTAGCTGTTGGTGTTCGTTGCTGGTTTCGAGTCTTAATATTTTTTGTGTTGGTGTTTGTTGTGTTTTGGATGTTGGTGATGATTGTCGGTTTATGTTTGTATTGAGCTGATGTTGATGTTGTCCACAGCTGCATGGGTCATGTTTGTTAGTGTTTGTTTATGTCTGTACTGAGCAGATGTTGTCCACAGCTGTACAGGTTGTGTTTGTTGGTGGTGTTTGTTTATGTTTGTATTGAGCTAATGTTGATGTTGTCCACAGCTGCATGGGTCATGTTTGTTGGCGTTTGTTGGTGTTAGTGGGGTTTGTTTATGTTTGTACTGAGCAGATGTTGATGTTGTCCACAGCTGTGTGGGACGCTCCTGCAGACGGCCGTTTCGTGACTCTTACGGGGACGATCACTCGGGGGAAGAGGAAGGGCGAGCTGGTGGAGATTCGGCTGACCCTTACCGAGCGGGAGCTGAGGGACATGGCTCGCTCTAAAGAGCGTCTGGACGAGGAATGCGACGGTCCGGGACCCCAGCGTGCCGTTTGCAGGCTGGAGGCGGGACGGGGTCCGCACGTGCTGCTCTGGAGCCTGTCCTGCTCGCCCTTCGTCTTCCTGCTGGCCTTCATCACCTCGTTCTACTACGGCACCCTGACCTGGTACAACATCTTCCTGGTGTTCAACGAGGAACGCACGTTCCTGCACAAGGTCCTAGTCTGCCCCCTGCTGGTGCTGAGCTACCCGCTGCTCATGGTCCTGCTGTGTGTGGGCGTGGCAGCGTACGCGGCGGCCGCTCAGCTGTCCTGGAGCATCGGCGCGTGGTGGCAGGCGGTGGGCGACCTGGAGAAAGGCGTGTGCGGGTGGGCCTGCGGGAAACTGGGACTGGAGGACTGCGCCCCCTACAACGTGGTGGAGCTGCTGGACTCGGACACGCTGTCCGGAACGCTGCAGAGTCGGCGGGAGGAGACGTCCACCGTGTGAAAAACCTCCAGGAGACACTTTACCCACAATGCTCCTCTCAGCTCTGCACTGCTGGGCTCTTGTTTTCTCTTAAGGTGCTACAAGTCATTTTAAACGATGTCACTCACTCTTTACATATTTATGTTAAATATTTATGTATTTATTTATTCTTTTGCTGCTTTTGATACTGTGTTATAAAGACTACGCTGTGGTCAGTGTTGGTCAGTAATCGGCTGCACTGGTCCTGTATAACGGCTCTCCTGGTTATGAAAACGTGTTGTTTGCGGTGATCACTCTGTCTTATGGTGCTTTTTTTTATACTTTACGGCATTTTACACGAGTGTGTCTGTCAGCTCAGCACAACTGATCGAGTTATTGATGAACTTCAATAAAGAGCAGTTTGTCTGAATCTGATTAGGAGCTGTTTTTATTCATGAGATAGATATATATATATATATATATATATATAAATGTACACATGCATGTATTCACTCTCAAAACAAAACCTCGTATCTTCATTTGGTAGTTTTCTTTATTTTTGGACATAATGTAACATGAAACACCAGCTGCTGTTGACATTGTGTCAAAATTTCATAACAAATGGACCAAAATACAAAATAATGCAGAGTAAATTGTTACATTCCACTCTGTTACGTCTGTTTAAAGTTAATTATTTTTCATATGTGTATATTTATGTATCATCACTGTGGGATAAAAGTTTGAGTGCAAGTTTTTTTTTTTTTCCCCGGATAATTTCGGATCATGTTTGATCACGTAAGTCACACATGAACTTCATATATCAGATTTCAGTCTGTTATACACAAATTACAGATCAGTTCACAGTAACATTCACACACACACGTTTGTCTTGCTATACATATGAGGACGTCCATAGATTTCTACTGATTTTTGTGTTACTGTAGCTAAATAATACTACACCTAAACCTAAACCTAACCTTAACCTCAGTATCCAAAAGGCAGTTTTTCTGCTCTTTAAGTTTTCAAATAAAAAAGCAACTGTGGTGAAAACACAAGCTCAACTGAGGACCAACAAAATGTCCTATCATTGTGAGGACATGGGGTCCTCACAAGTATAGCACTACTCTCTCTCTCACACACACACACACACACACACACACACACACACACACACACACACACGCACTCACAGTGAATCGTGTCCTGATTAATGCAGGGTCTCCACTGATGGAGCCCCCCATATCTACAAAAATAAACACTGGGCCTCGTTCTCCAGTATCTTACTGAGTCTGTTCTTAAGTGTGTTCTTGATAAAGGTTCTAAGAAAAAGTCTCAGTCAGATTCATGTCGTGTTCTTAAAGCGCAGAACTGTTCTACCTTTGTTCTCTTGAGTGTGTGTAGATTCTGTTCTTACCTAAGAACAAACCCCACATTAGAGAACAGTGGAGAGTCAGAGTCTTCGTCAGAGCTGCGTAAGTGGGAACTTTCTTCTTAAGAACGGTTTGAGAACGAGGACCAATGAAGAATAAAACAAAATAATCCTTATAATCTAATCTAATCTAATCTAATCTATTGTAACTCCACGTGTTTTATTATATTATTATAATCCCCAGTTTTCTTCTTATTTTTCGCTCGTGTTTAATGTGAACGCTGAGCGCCCCCTGCTGGACCAGAGTGGACAGTGTCCTCTGTTCCACTTTCGGTTTGAAAAGAGCGCAGAAGCGGCGCTGTGAGCTGAGCTCGGTGAGGTTTTATTCTTTTTCACTCTTTATTCGACATTTTCTTGTTTTGGTGTAAGAACCGTGGAGTAAACAAAGCAGGAACAGGCGGGAAACGCGATTCTCGCGAGATTCGACGTTGAATGAGTCGGTCGGTGTAAACAAAACAGAATTCAGTATCAGATTATCTGACTTTCAGCTCCGCGGTGGTTTTCATAGTGAATAAGATCAATTCTCCAATAATCCAGCGGATTAATTAATTATTAATAACCGAATAATAAGAAAAGTTCAGATAGTCGAATCTGCGCCGCTGGTAACTGAGTTAACTGGGCTAAACCTGCTGAGTCTGTTGGTTTGTTAATGGAAAAAAACAGACATTAAATCCGCAGTTTGAGCAGAATTTCACTGTTTTTCCTGCCAAACTCGGTGATGATGATGATGATGATGACTGGGGAAAGTGAAAGTGGTGATGAAGAGCAGCTCGGTTTTCCCCCAGCTTACCGGAGCTTTCTGTTTCTTGTAGCTGCTCTTCTGGAAGGGAGGCGCTTTGGAGGCTCGTTTAAAAGCTGAGCTCAGCGTCTCGCCTTTCAGCCTGAGAATGTCCGTCCCGCCCGGGCGGGGCTGTTGGAGATGGACCTCCGGAGAGGCCCTTCAGCTCAGTCGGAAGGTGAGTTTAACCCGCTGAATAAAAACACAGAACAGTGTTTCTTACGGAGCTCTGCTGGTGACATCATGTCTAAATAAAAATAACACCTGTGCCCACGCCATATTAACGCGTGGGAACGAGATCCTACACACAATGTGTGCACAGTGATTAGGCGAGTGAGTTTTTTTGACCATATCATCGTTTCTGTGCATATTTTCCAACTCCAAGCTGTAAAAACTTGAATGCTTGTTGGATTTAAGCATATCCGGTGATGTGTATCTGTGTAATGAGGGGGGTGTGGCCTAAGGAGATCAACACCCCTTATCAAGGTGTGCACAGTTATTAGGCAGCTTCTTTTCCTCAGGCAAAATGGGCCAAAAGATTTAACTGACTCAAAAACTGTAAAAAGTCTTGCAGAGGGATGCAGCACTCTTGACACGGCTAAGATATCGGGACGTGATCACAGGACCATCAAACGCTTTGTTGCAATTAGTCAACAGGGTCACAAGAAACATGTTGAGAAAAAAAGACGCAAATTAACTGCCAAAGATTTGAGAAGAATCAAACGTGAAGCGACCTGGAACTCATTATCCTCCAGTGCTGTCATATTCCAGAACCGCAGATTAAGAAACTGACGGACTGTGTGAATGGAAGGCTTATGAGTGTTATTGAAAAGAAGGGCGGCTCTATTGGTCACTGATTTTTTATTTTTTTTTGATATGTCAGAAATGTTTATTTGTAAATTGAGTTGTTTGTTTATTATTCTCACATTAACAGATGAAAATAACACACAGATATTCTCCTAAGAAAGCCAAACCCTCCCTTCTACTTTCTTAAACATTCAGCTTTGATGTTTGTTCTGTAGTTGTTCAATAATAAAATTAATCCTCAAAAATACAGCTAATAACTGTGCACAGTGTAATGTGTGGCCATGACTTAGTAAGGCGTGGGATGGAGATCATGGCTTATTAAGCTGTGGTCAAGGCTTAATTATCTCATTCCTATGCCTTACTAAGTTGTGGCCATGAAATCCTAATGTGTGGCCACAACTTAGTAAGGTGTGGAAATAAGATAATTAAGCCTTGACCACAGCTTAATTGTATTTTGTTACACCATCTAAGGTGGAGCGGGCAGTTCCAGTAAGAAGCCGGTCCTGGTTGGTGTTAGTGTTGGTGTTAGTGGTCACTGCTGTGTTTCCTGTCTCTGCAGGTCTAAGCAGTCTGAGCTGGTTGGTGTTAGTGTTGGTGTTAGTGGTCACTGCTGTGTTTCCTGTCTCTGCAGGTCTAAACAGTCTGAGCTGGTCCAGGTGGAAGCGATGGCTGATGGGCTGTGTCTGCTGGTGAACAGTGTGGTGGAGGCTCTGAGTCAGGAGGAGTGTAGAACCCTGCGGTACCTGTGCTCAGACCTGCTCTCGGCCAACTGCGCTGAGGACTGCAGAGGAGCTCTGATCACCCTCATGACTCAGACTGCCCACTCACGGCCCAGAGACACTGTCCTGAAGGAGGTCCTGTTCCGACTAAACCGCTTCGACCTCCTGAGAAGGCTTCTGGGAACCACCAGGATGGATGTGGAGGAGATGCTGAAGGCGAGGGGGCGTGTTCTCTCAGATTACAGGTAACTCACTGTAACGTTACGGCCGGTTCCTAATCAGATTACGCATAATTCATCTTCAGATTAGTGATGTGGGCTTATATCAGATCAAGAGTGCACTCTGATGGTTCTTCAAGGGTTCTTTAGTAAAGAACATGGCTCTACATAGAACCATGCACACTCAAAGGACCCTTTGTATGAATAAAGGGTTCTTTGCCTGATTAAATGGTTCTTTGCCTGTATAGAACCGTGAACACTCAAAGAAGCCTTCAAAGGGTATAGAACCATTTTCCTTACTAAAGAACCCTTGAACCATCTTTTTAAGAGTGTAGATAATGCCAGACTTGTTTTGAATTCTTGAAGAAAAATGTTCATAGTGCAACTGAAGGAGCTCCAGGTCAGGCAGACATTTTAAGGGGTTATACACTGAGGTTTTAGTAGCACTTGATAATTTCTACTGCGCGCCCCCTGGTGGATTTGACTTAGAAATCTGCCGAAATATGCAGTTATGTGTTTTCCTCCTTTCTGACAAACAAACCAGAAGCAAATCTGAGTTTGATTTCTGATCCCTTCTGACTGACCAGGTTCCAAACAGGCTCTGGATCTCACGCAGGAGGGCGAAAGCAGTTGTTTTGATATTAAAGGCATCAAACTTTTAAACGCTGGGGCACCGGGCAGTAGGCAGAGTCACTCCTGGTACCAGGTCCACCTCAGTGTTATTGGACCTGTAATGTGTTTAAGTGGGTCAGTTATTAGTATTTGTCCTGTAAATCGGTGTGAGAGATGTTAGGTGGTCCTGCGTGAGGAGGACGTTATCGAGCTTGGCTGTTTGTTGTTGTTGGAGGTGACCTGTAGTCTAGCTATGATCCGTCCAGACCCACAGGCAGGAAATCATGCGTATCAGTGAGAGAGTGTTTTGGATCTGGACCAAATCCTGTTCTAATCAGTGTGAAATAACAAGGAACGCCTGGTGGAGCTTAGCTGGTAAATGCAGCTGTGTGTGTGTGTGTGTGTGTGTGTGTGTGTGTGTGTGTGTGTGTGTGTGTAGGGTTCTGATGATGGAGCTAAGTGAGAGTTTGGACACAGCTGAATTACAGTCCCTCACCTTCCTGCTGAGCAGCTCTGTACCCAGAGGCCCGCTGGAGCGAGCTACGGTAAACCTCCTTACACCTTTACACTCTTTATATTTTATATAACTTACAAACACTTTATACCTTTTACATCCTATATACACTACAAACTACACGCTTTATACTGTGTATATCCTACCTATATGCCCTGTATACCCTTTATACCCTATATGTCTTTATACATATGTCCTGCACAGGCTATATACTGTACATATCTTTATACCTTAAATGCCTTGTTTTTCCTATACTTATATGCTTCATTCTATATTTATATATTCTTATACTTTATTTATCCTGTGCTGCCATATATTTTAAAATTCTGAATTCTGAATATACCTTTATACCTTATATACCTTATATATCCAATACTCCTAAATACTTTACATACCTTTATACCTTAAATGCTCTTTGTGAGTTCAGACCATGCCTTCAACATGGCGGTGGTAGTATGAGGGAAGATGGATTGAGGGAGGGGGGAGAACTCTGAGAACTTGGGCTGGAGTTCTGGGCAGCTTCTGTCTGTGGCTAGAAGGCCAGACCCTCGTAGCTATAGTAGGACCGATGTAAGATGGAGCGAGAATGGAGGGAGATGGGGGGGGGGCGGTGGGGATTTGTCACAGGAACGGAAGGTGAGGATGTGAATTTATAGGGAGTTAGATTGGAAGAAGGAGGGTTTCAGGCATGTTCCTCCCCCCAAACTTCAGTTATAATATAACTACATTATGTGTTCTACACCGTTATATACATACATGTATACTTTATATGTCCTATATATTCTAAACTCTTATGTACGCTATATTCTTTTATACAACCCCATTTCCAAAAAAGTTGGAACGCTTTGCAGAATGTAAATAGAAATAGGATGCAATGATATGCAAATCATGTAAACCATATTTTTAAAGGAAAATACGACAACGTATCAAATGTTGAAACTGAGAAATTTTATTGTTTTTTGAAAAATTAATGCCCATTTTGAATTTGATGCCAACAACACGTTCCAAAAAAAGTTGGGACGGGGGCCTGTTTACCACTGAGTTTCATCACCTCTTCTTTAACTACACTCTGTAAGCGTTTGGGAACTGAGGAGACATTGCTGTAGTTTAGAAAGTGAAATGTTTTCCTGTTCTTGTTTGATACAGGATTTCAGCTGCTCCTCAGTTAGGGGTCTCCTTTATCGTATTTTTCATTTCATAATGTGCCAAATGTTATCAGTGGTGACCGGTCTGGACTGCAGGCAGGTCAGTTTAGCACCCAGACTCTTTTAATACGGAGAAATGCTGCTGTAATACATGCAGAATGTGGTTTGACATTGTCTTACTGAAATAATTAAGGCCTTCCCTGAAAAAGACGTCGTCTGGATGGCAACATATGTTGCAACATGTATGTATCGTTCAGCATTAATGGTGTCTTCACAGATGTGCACGTCACCCATACCATGTGCACTAATGCCCCCTATACCATCATGAATACTGGCTTTTGAACTGTGCACTGATAACAAGCTGAGTGGTCTTTAGCCCAGAGAACACAGTGTCCATGATTTCCAAAAAGAATTTTAAATGTTGATTCGTCGAACCACAGGACACTTTTCCACTTCCCCTCTGTCCATTTTAAATGAGCTCAGGCCCAGAGAAGGTGGCAGCATTTCTGAATCCTGTTTATATTTGGTTTCTTCTTTGCGTTTTAGAGTTTTAACTTGTATTTGTGGATGCAGTGATGAACTGTTTTCACAGACAGTGGTTTTCAGAGTGTTTCTGAGCCCATGCAGTGATTTCCACTACAGAATCATGTCTGTTTTTAATGCAGTGCTGCCTGAGGACCCAAAGATCACGGCCAGCAAATACTGGTTTTTGGCCTCGTCCCTTACATACAGAGATTTCTCCAGAGTCTTTTAATGATATTATGTACCGTAGATGATGGAAAGCAGAAGTTCTTTGCTGTTTTACGTTAGGAAACGTTATTCTTAAATTGTTGCACTATTTGATGGTGCAGTCTTTCACAGAGTGGTGAGCCCCTCCTCATCTTTACTTCTGAAAGACTCCGCCTCTCTGAGATGCTCTTTATACACAATCATGTTACTGACCTGTTGCCAATGAGTCACCAGGTGTTTTTTTAGCATTACACAAATTTACCATTTTTTTTGTTGCCCCTGTCGCAACTTTTTTGGAACGTGTTGCTGGCATCAAATTCAAAATGGGCAAATATTTTTTAAAACTCAATACATTTCTCAGTTTCAACATTTGATATGTTGTCTTTTTGCTATTTTCAATGAAATATAGGGTTTAAATGACTTGCACTTCATTGCATTTTGTTTTTATTTACATTTTGCACATCGTCCCAACTTTTTTGGAAATAGGGTTGTACTTTACATGTCCTATATACTTAATATGTGCATTTGTGGGTTAAGCTGATTATGACTTTTGGTGTTCGGTCTCTGCCCAAAACACCTACAGAAGTGTTTTGATGTCCACCTGTGTGTCCGATCTTGCAGAATTAGTCCAAACTACCCCTGAACCCAGATGCTGCACATAGGTATAATTAAAAAACATGTGAATAGGAGTTAGATCCGTGTTCCTGTGTGAAGAGACAGTCAGTGTTTGAAGGTGACGAGGGAAGTTCGTTCCACCACCTGGGCTCCACGACAGAGAAGAGCCCTGATGCTTGTCTTCCATGCGTCCTGAAGGATGGCGGGTCGAGTCACGGTGTATTTGAAGCTTGAAGGGCTCGAGGTACAGATTGGGCTTTGACCGTCAGGGACGGAGGGGCTGGTCCACGTTTGACTTTGAGGCATCAGGGTTTTAAATCTGATGCAGCTTCAGGAATCCAGTGAAGGCAGCGCAGCAGTGGAGTGTCATGAGTGAAGGAAAGTTGCATTCTGGATCAGCTGAAGAGCCTGATGGGCCGGAACCAAGCTGCAGCAGTCAAGCATGGAAATTACAAGAGACTGAATGAGCACCTGAGTGACCTTCCTGGAGTGAAAGGATCCACTCCACTGGGAGTGTGGTTTGCAAAATGAGCAGAGAACAAGAACCGGTCATCCAGAATTACACCAAGACTCTGTGTTTCAGCAAATGGAATGACCAAGAACTTCTTGAAGGACGTAAGGATCTCTAGTAGCTGGGATTCAGCTGCCGGTGGTGGGCCGCTGTTTGGCCACTAGCCAGAGAGCCGATGGTCTGTTTATTGGTAGGAGAAGCTCAGAGATGACATCTCTTTGACTTTTCCAGTGTGACGGGAGTGTGTGAGCTTTGGGAAACTTTGTGATGTTCCAGATAATTTATCTGACTGTGCCTTTAGATCACTGGGTTTTTGGGGAAACCCAGTCTGTGCAAGTCAGCGGGGAACGGAGGGGTTTCCCCAGCGGGAGTTTCTGAATATAAATTTTATAAAGTTTTTATTGTCTGCAGAGTTTCTTGGACGTTGTGGCAGAGCTGGAGAAGATGGATAAGGTTTCATGTGAGAAGCTGGACCAGTTAGAGCAGTATCTGAGGAACATCAGGAGAGTGGACCTGGCCAACAGGATACAGTCATACCAGAGAGGTAAAACTGGACGTCACTCAGGTCACAGTACAGTGGTGAGGCTGCGGCTGATAATGGTGTGTTTTGTTTGATTTAGATCAGCACAGAACTCAACGAGAAGTTTCTCAAAGTCCAGCAGCGCGTAACGGAACACAGGTAACACCGAGAACGTGCTCTGATATTTCTGTACTGCTGAAAGAGTGAAAGTAGTGATGTATTAGTGCAGAACTGGAGTCTATCTGTGATGGTGATGATGGTGGTGATGATGAAGATGGTGAGTCTGGGTTTGGTCTCTGTTCGTCCAGGTTGGTCTTGGTCACAGTCACAATCATCGAGCTCCAGTGAGGAAACAGCAGCCGCTGCCTGAAGGTATAAAGACTAATGAAGATCATTGACAGATTACACTGACCGTCTGATCTGATCTGAGTCTGATCTGAACTCTCGACTCTCGATTCTTTCTGCAGAATTTAAGACTCTGAAGCTCTCAGTGCCTGAAAGTGGAGTGCAGCGCTCAGAGGTTTACTACATAACTCCTCCTCTGACTCCATAGCTCCTCCTCCTTTACTCCATAACTCCTCCTCTGACTCCATAACTCCTCTTCCTTTACTACATAACTCCTCCTCTGACTCCATAACTCCTCCTCTGACTCCATAACCCCTCCTCCTTTACTCCATAACTCCTCCTCTGACTCCATAACTCCTCCTCCTTTACTACATAACTCCTCCTCTGACTCCATAACTCCTCTTCCTTTACTCCATAACTCCTCCTCTGACTCCATAACTCCTCCTCTGACTCCATAACTCCTCCTCCTTTACTCCATAACTCCTCCTCTGACTCCATAACTCCTCCTCCTTTACTCTATAACTCCTCTTCTGACTCCATAACTCCTCTTCTGACTCCAAAACTCTTCTTCTGACTCCATAACTCATCCTTTACTCTATAACTCCTCCTCTGACTCCATAACTCCTCTTCCTTTACTCCATAACTCCTCCTCTGACTCCATAACTCCTCTTCTGATTCCATAACTCCTCTTCCTTTATTCTAACTCCTCTTCTGACTCCATAACTCCTCCTCTGATTCCATAACCCCTCCTCTGACTCCATAGCTCCTCCTCCTCCTTCCCCTCCTCTTTTACTCTTCACTATATACCTCCTCCTCTTTTACTCTAACTTTATAACTCCTCCTCCTTTACTCTAACTCTATACCTCCTCCTCCTTTACTCTTAACTCTATACCTCCTCCTCCTGTACTCTTAACTCTATAACTCCTCCTCCTTTACTCTAACTCTATAACTCCTTCTCTTTCTCTTTAACTCCAAGGCTCTTCCTTGAAGCTGTGATTAGATGTGATTAGATGTTAGATGCTGTTGTCTGACACTGGTTTATGGTGGAGTGAAGAGATGTTACTGGATGTTCTCTGACGCTCGTTCTTTGTGTTCTCTAGGTTCCTGTGGATCAGCGCTACACTGACTCTGAGTGCGGAGGTGTGTGTGTGATCATCGACTGCGTTGGCTTTGATGGAGGTGAGGCTGAGAGAATGGAGAACTGTTTGATACAGTGAAGGCTTGAGAACCCAATGGAGCTGATTTTCAACTGTGTAGAGAGATGTGTGTGTGTGTGTGTGGGAGTGAGTGAGTGAGTGTGTGTGTGTGAGTGTGTGTGTGTGTGTGTGTGTGTGGGAGTGAGTGAGTGAGTGTGTGTGTGTGTGTGAGTGTGTGTGTGTGTGTGTGTGTGGGAGTGAGTGAGTGTGTGTGTGTAAATTACAGATGAATGAAAGCTGAGCTCCTTTACTGTGAAGGTCCAGCTCTCGATCACTGCCTGTTTGTGTGTGTTATACTGTCTGGTTTCTCAGATCTGTTGAAGGACACATTTGAGCGACTCGGTTTCCGAGTGCACCTGCACACGCTGCTGACCGCGAGGGAGCTGAGTTCAGTGTTGAGGTCAGTGAGCGAGCAGAGGGCGCTACAGCGGGCCGCGACCTTCTGCTGCTGCCTGCTGAGCCGCGGCTCGGAGACGCACCTGCTGGCCACGGACGCTGAGGGTCCTGGATTCGCTCTGACTGACCTGCGGCAGATTTTCTGCCCCACGCGCTGCCCCCTCCTGGCGGGAAAACCCAAACTATTCTTCACCCAGAGCTATGTGGAGGCTCCGCCCACTCTGGAGCAGGAAGACCCGTGCCTGGAGACGGACGGAGTGCCGTACTGCGCCGTTCCCACCCACGCTTCGGCCAGAGAAACGCTACCGGCCGCTGCAGACGTCCTGTGGAGTGTGTGCACAACGTCAGCCTGGCAGCTGGAGAGGCGGGACCACCACTCAGTTTACCTGCAGGCGCTAAGCTCCGCCCTCCTCCGAGCACACGAGAGGTAAAGGAGAACAATCGTTCTGACTATTTTAATAAAACATCTGTGCAAAATTATAAAAGTTAATGGATTTTTTATTTGACCTTCTGTGTTTTTTAGGAAGCTTCATGTGCTGGACGCTCTTATCGAGGTGAACAGAGACGTTTATGAGCACAATCGGCAAAATCCAGATAACCTGTACCACCTCAAACTCAGCCACACACTACGCAAGAGTCTCTGCTTGTAACGCAGAACCACAGAACCGCAGAACCGAATTCAGCTCCATTAGACCTTAAATAAGCTACTTTAATGCTGCATAGCGTTTAACACTGCCATTATTTTACACACTTATTTATTTGGTGTTTAAGTGCTCACGCTGACGGACTCGTTTTGAAACCAACTGAATGCGGTCAGGCAGAAAGGACAGTGTCGTTACTGTGAAGAGCATTTAGTGTGTTTGGTTATTTCTTTATTAGGCAGCTAATAATAAACAGATACTTTGATAATTAGCTAAAGAAGAATAATATATACAGAGCAGCTGTTTTGTATTTTATATATATATACACACGCAAAGTTTAAGTTCTTTTTATGGAAAATGAAGGTTGCAACTAACTGGCCGTCTGCCGCGCTACGTTAAGCGTTCAGGACTCAAGGAAAATGTGGCTGTGTTGCTCTTCAGTCTGGAGCTCAATTTACAGAAAATAATTGTAGTTCAGATCAGAATCTGGATTGTTAAATAGATTTGAAGTGTTACTTGTTTCTTTAAGTGAACACACACTTTCAGAAATGTGACCTCTTGTAGCCACAAAGTCTGAAATGAAGATGAATAAAATCAGAATTTTTCCAGTTTTCGGTGCAAAAAAAGGAACATTTCTGTAAAGAAGTGAAGGAGAATTAAAGAACACACCTGATTAACCCTTTAACACCTGTTAACACAGCAGGTTTCCTCCTCAAACACACACTGTTCTTACAGCAGCACTTACTGTTGATGAAGTTGAGAAAGTACAGATTAGTTGATCAATCAGTTAATCAGTTAATCGATCAGACGCAGTTATTTCTCTACATGATTGATAAGGACAGTGAAGAGAAACTGCTGTAAAGCTTTACTTCTTTTGGTTTATAATAAAAGTATCAATGTCAGACCCTAAAATCAGCATCATAATCAATATCTGCACTTACATGAAGTTTATTAATGAGTATATTAATAATTATTGAATAGTTGCATCTGCTTTGATAAAGGCTTCAGTTCAGTTATTAAACATTTACGCAGCGACTTATGATATTTAATATTTTGTTCATTTTTTTATATAATAAATTATACAGTTTTTTGTTTACTTGCGTGTGAAAAATTCATAAACATGAAACAGGTGTATGCTGGTAGTTAAAAGCTCTGGTCATGTGACCTTTTACATCACTAACCATCAAAACAGATCAAAACAATCTATAATTGAATTTATAGTTTATGATTTATTGGTCTTGGTTGTGAGAATCTGGTGAGGTTAAAGTGTTTAATCCATCCAGATTAAAGAGTCCTGAGAACCACTGAAGTGAGATTTTCTGACTGTGGACCATAAATATGAGTGTACATACGAATAAACACACTGTTAATCATCAAAATACTGGAGTCATTCATTTATACACTCAGACACACACTCACACACACACTCACACACACACACTCTCACACACACACACACACTCACACACACACACACTCACACACACACACACACACAGAAACACATATATACACACACACACACTTATATACACACACATATATACACACACACAAACACACACTCACACACACACACACACACACACACACATGTACACACATACACACACAAACACACACACACACACAGAAACATACACACACACACACAGAAACACATACACACACACATAAACACACACACAAACACACTCATACACACACACAGAAACATACACACACAGAAACACATACACACACACACATAAACACACACACAAACACTCATACACACACACACATGTACACACACACAAACACACACATACACACACACACATGTACACACACACAAACACACACATACACACACAAACACACATGTACACACACAAACATACACACACACACAAATATACACACACATACACAAACACACAAACACTCATACACACAAATATAAACACACAGTCATACACTCACACTCAAATACATGCTCACACACACACAAATACACACATATACACACACAAATACACACATACACACACTCACTCACTCACACACACACCGCAATGTTCAGTTGAGTGTGTTTGATGTTGTGTGATTCCAGATGTTGGTTTGTTAATTAATTGATTAATTGATTACTGTTATCTCGCTGTGTGATGTTATATGGGTGGGGTGGTGTGTGGAGGAAACCAAGGGGGACAGAGCAGTTTATTCTTTACACTGAGACACTGTTTTATGATAGTTTAGAGAACCTAAACTCCATTCATGGTGGAGGGATACATGCAGGGCGCTGTGAGGCAAAATAGTCCCCAAAGAAAACTTATTATTTCAGATTTTCCACTATTTTCCATCATCAACATTCCATATAAACTCAGAAGACTCGTGTAGGTTCACTGGTGGTTCTGGATAGTAAATAAAATGTCTATATTTGTGTTGTAGTCATGGCGACCCCTGGTTCCTATCACCACCACTGTAAAGGAACGGAGCAGTTTGTTCTTTTCATGTTTATTAATGTAAACAGTGCAGGTTAAACAGCTTTAGATGGAGCTTTTTCTCTGATGCGCCTGTAAAGCAGTTCAGGTTGAGGACGTGTGGAAAGTAGTTCAGTGAGTTGTTAGCTTTAGCATTAGCTTTACTGATTTCAGTGTGATTGTGACCGTGTCATTTATCCTTCGTTTCTTCAAGGTTAAAATAAAAAACACATGGAAATATTTGCAGCCCTAAACTTCAGCAACACAATAACGTCAGAAATGTTATTCATGAGCAGAACTGATGGAAAAACAGGAACAATGAGGTAATTAAAACCGACTCAGACTGTAACATGATTTCTCATAGCTGCATTTACCCGTAAGTCTCTGTCAAATTAATAATATTCACACAGTTTACATTGAATAATCACAAAAGTAAGACACTCAGTATTTTTTGAATGAATTAAACATTAATCTTATAAAACATCACGTTATTCATCGTCTTATTCAGCAGACAGTAAGTGTACTCAAAACTGAGTGGTTAGGGGGTTAGGAGTAGGGGTTAGGGTTGAGGGGATAGGGTTTAAGGGTTAGGGGTAGGGGATGGGGATAGGGTTGAGGGGATAGGGGTGAGTGATTAGGGGTTTAGGGTTGGGGGGATAGGATTTATTGAGGTGTTCGGTCAGTCGTTCTTCCTCTTCTCTGATTTCCTGCTGCATCTTCGGAAACACAACAAGCAGCATTTCATCAGCGCTACGACTACAATCACCACGACAACCAGCAGGAAGCCTATAACATCCAGGCTGTGATACTGGAACCAGTTAAGGTCATGAGCCGCAGGCCGCAGATGCTCCGCCCCTTTGTGTCTCATTACAAACTCTGTCCAATAGACTGCCAGGTCCAGAGGCTCTATGGGCCGGTCTTTATGGACAGCAGAGAGCTTTGTCATCTTCTCCTTATACCTACAGGGGAGAGAGAGGGAGAGAGAGGGAGACAGAGAGACCGAAAATAAGAAGAGAGAGTGAGTGAGAGAGAGAGAGACAGATGAGGAGAAATATGACGATGATGATTACAAAGACAAAAAGCAACAGAGGAGAGCATTAGACAACAAACAGTTAACAGCACATGATATTTAAGAATAAGTTTTTTAAATCATGTTTTTTATGCATAATAAATAGTTGAGATGTAATCAGAGTGGTTCAGAGTGGTTCTCTGTTCTAGATAAACTTACTGAGTCAGAGCTGTTCACAGTGGTGGTGATAGGAACCAGACGTCCACCTCTAAAAGCTCCCTCACAGAAAGTTCCTACATGAAATGGTTATGAATTCACTGCCTGATGACTGAGACGCTGTTTTATGATAGTTTAGAGAACTTAAACTCCATTCATGGTGGAGGGATACATGCAGGGCGCTGTGAGGCAAAATAGTCCCCAAAGAAAACTTATTATTTCAGATTTTCCACTATTTTCATCATCAACATTCCATATAAACTCAGAAGACTCGTGTAGGTTCACTGGTGGTTCTGGATAGTAAATAAAATGTCTATATTTGTGTTGTAGTCATGGCGACCCCTGGTTCCTATCACCACCACTGTAAAGACATCTGAACCACTCTGAATCACTCTTTCTGTCTGTAACTTGCGCCGTTTCATTCACGCTCTTCTTTCTATCTGCTGAATATTTGTGTTTGTTACTGATTAACTTGCCTGGTGTCGTTGATGACGGTGTTGAGGGCGTCGATCAGCATCTCTGCCGTGATCTCACGTATGTCTAGGACCACGCCCACTCCTCGACTCGCCACCCGGTGGGCGTTGTCCCCCTGGTCACCGAAGAGTGGCACCATCACCATGGGAACGCCGTGGCAGATGCCCTCGTAGATGCCATGAGTTCCACCATGGGTGATGAAGGCTCGGGTTTTGGGGTGACCTTAGATCAAACAATAATCAACGTTCAAACATAAACGTCACGGTAATGATTTCAAGGTTTAGTCAGACGGTGAATAATTAGTCTATCAGGTTACTTAACCCTCTGTGGTCTGAGCTCATTCTCGTGATCTTAAACTCTCCTATAAAGGCTCTTCATATATCATGACCCTCATATGTTTCATATCTAAATGCTCCGTTATCTTCATCACTACTTTCCAAAACCGCTGCAGCAGGTTGAGCAGCTGTAAACTCTCTGAACGCCGTTTCACACGAGTCTCCGATGTGGACTGAATGAAGAATGAAGGGTTTCCGGCGTGATGGTCAGTCCTTAGTGATTTCCTGAGTGTCCATTGGTCAGTTTCACACAGAATGTACACGAATCCACCAGCTCCACATGGTGAGAGGCAGATGACGTGTATCTCAGCCCCTCTTCATAGGCTCATAACTCCGGATGTGAGTCTCGTTTGATCTCGTGATAAGATGGAATGGAAAGGGCGACTCTACAGATTCAGGAAGAGTCTGAACTGGATTTCTGCGCTGGATCATCATGAAGAATTCTGTCTTTCTCATTTACTGACTTCACATGTGTTTACAGAGTGTTTACAGAGTGCAGGTGTTCCAAACCCTCCAGTACAGCGTGAGCAGTGATGATGTAAAAATGTCCTCCAGAGCTTCATTAGTTCATTCATTAGCTTCATGGAGGGTGTGTGGAGCAGCTGTGATCTCCTTCCGCTCTGTGTAGTTTTTACTGATTTGCATACGCCGCGAGCAGCTCAACCGCCCTGACCGCTGTGAATGTGTTTGAACACTGCGTTCCATCGTGGTTCAATAATAATGTTCACTCGTTCTTCTGGCTGACGTTCTGCTACAACTCCACAAATAAACAGAAACACATTCACGCTGAATCCACGCTGGAGGTGCAGAGACAGAGCTCCACCTGTTTTTCGGATACGGGGCTGTTTTATTGATGCAGATGAGTTTCATTCCAAACTCAAAACGCCAGTTGTCCTTCACATTCTGTGAAGCTGTTGTGATGAATGGACCAATAGAAATGCTCCAAAATAAACAATCAAATCTTGTTACAATAAACTGAAAGTTAAGACCGTTTTTGCCACCTGCTGTAAAGTTAGAATTCCAGAGATGTGTGTTTTTCTTTGAACAGCGACGGCATCCATTTGTAACAGTTTCAGACATAGTTTTAAAAGAATAACAGCTGATGTATAATGTTAATTTATATTTCTCTAATAAAGATAATAATCATAATACAGCACTGATATTTCTTCAGTGTTTAAAAAAACACTCCCAGCGTATATCATGAAAAAAACATGGATGAAAACAGCATGGATGTTGTCATGGTAACGTCTACACTAAAAGCTTTTCATCTATAAGCCAAGTCAATTCAACTGGACTGGAGAAAATCTAAATGTAATAAACTGATATGATGATTAAGCTGTGATGGGGCTGTTCTGGGTTCAGGTTAATTGTTGTTGACTAATCGCTGTCAGTTTGTAAATGTAAACAGTGAATTGTCTGTTCTTGCAAAAGTAAAGTATGGTGTTCCACAAAGCTCTGTTTTAGGACCTGTATTATTCACATTATATATGCTACCACTGGGCACCATTATCAGTAAACACGGTATAGATTTCCACAGTTATATAAATCAGCCAAACCAGATGATAAACTTCAACTTAGCAAGATTGAGGACTGTATAAAAGACATAAAGGACTGGATGTCGAGTAACTTTCTCCCTTCTTAACTCAGATAAAACGGAGGTTCTGCTTCTTGGTCCAAAAGCAGCTAAAAACAAACTGTCTAATTTAACACTTAAACGTAATAGCTTCTCAGTTGTATCAGGTTTATCTGTAAAAATCTTGGTGTCATTATAGACCCTGATCTGTCCTTCGACGCACATATAACTAATATTACTAGAACAGCCTTCCTGCATCTCCGCAATATTGCTAAATTAATAAATGCATCTACAGGATGCAGAAAAGTTAGTTCATGCATTTATTACTTCAAGGCTAGATTACTGTAATGCCCTGCTGGCTGGATGTCCCAGCAAAAGCCTTAACGAGCTTCAGCCAGTCCAGAACGCTGCAGCCAGAGTTCTTACAAGAACCAGAAAGTTCAACCACATCAGCCCAGTTTTATCAACCTTACACTGGTTACCAGTTAAATTTCGCACTGATTATAAAATTCTCTTACTGACCTATAAAGCCCTAAACGGACTCGCCCCTCAGTACCTGAGTGACCTTCTCTCTCACTATGAACCATCACGCCTACTTAGATCACAAGGTGCTGCTCACTATTAGTACCTAGAATTAATAAAGCTACATCAGGGGGCGGAGCTTCTCATACAAAGCCCCCCAGCTTTGGAATAATCTTCCAGTCAGTGTTCGGGACTCAGACTCAGCCTCAGTGTTTAAGTCTAGGCTAAAACCCACTTGTTTAGTGGAGCCTTTGGTAATTAGTTTTCCCTGTTAGATAAAAGGTGCAGATCTGGGGTTCATGGTCATGGAGTGTTATGGTAAACTGGGAGTGTTGGTGCCGTCGTCCCGCTGCTCACGCACTCACTCAGGTTTGCTGACGGTGGAGTGGAGGGGCGCCGACATCTCAGGGAGCCTCCTGACTCTGTTACCTGTGATGTAGGATGCTGAAGGATCTGGTGGTAGATGTTATGTGATGCTGGTTGTCCATGAGGTTTTTAGCCCTGTTTTAGGTGTTTCAGGTGTTTTAGGAGTTTTAGGTCTTCATCCATGAAGAGATATTAGACAGTCAGAGAGCTCCGCTGAGATTCTGCAGGTGGACGAAGTCATCAGCGTAGCAGTGATAGAAGAAGATTACTGATCGCAGAGATTTAGTGAAGGAGAACAGAAACCTGGAGCCGTATGACAGAAACTTCTGAAATCTGATCTGTTTGGTCTCCATGACGACTTCAGTACAGACTGAATTTCGGACAGGAGCTATTCCAGAATAACAGTTCCTAACTTCATAATCTCATCATGAACTCCAGATAAGAAAACAGCATCACACAAACATCCTAACTAGTTAGTTACACTAGTGAGTCGCTTAAATACGACGATAACATGATCAGAACCGATCAGTAAACCTGCTGCCATGGAAACACAGCGGCAGCTGCTCTGACTGAATATCCAGTCTAGAAGAGAACGATGTGTCCAGGTTAACCTGAATAGACTGATGATCTACAGCTGCTGACCGTCTATTCTTTAATATTTCACTGAGAAACCAAATACGCGGCTTTTTAAACGCCGGTTCTGGATAACCGACACAACAGCAGCCTCAGTGTAGCCGACTGGGCTGCTGAGTCTCTGAGCTGGAGCTGTGGGCCTTCAGCTTCATGAGTCTAAACCAGGCTGACGATTAGAGCTACAGATACAGAGTTTAGAGTTTTAGCTTAGTTTAAAAAGTTTAAAAAGTCATGTTTTTGGTCTGTTTGTGTTTCTGACGGTTTCCCCAAAACTCACACCGGCTTGGTGGGTGTAAATATTTAGTAACTATTAAACTCGGTGTTAAACTAGTTTGTGGTGCAGCTCGTTCTGATTTAGAGATGATAAACCTGATCTTAGTAAACACTTAGCCTACGTCTTAACTTACGCACAGCTGGGGCAGCTGGACACTGGGGTGACCTTAATGTGAGAGACTCACCCAGGAGGTCGTTCTGAGGAAGCCACTCCATCAGCTTCACGTTATCAGGAACCTGATCAGGAACGTCTCCCTGTGTATCTCCACAAAACCTGAGGAGCAGATCAATAAACACATGAGATCTCCAGACGCTCCCCGGTTCCTGCCTAAGAAACGTCGCCTGTGACAATGTGTGGGAATGAGATAATGAATTCAGTCCAAGCTTTAGTAAGTAGTGGCCACACATTATTCTTATTAAGAAAGAACTTACAATCGTACACAAACGTTTTGGTCAAGTTCCATATTTTTGCTGATCTTCTGAGAGTATGTAAGCGAACGCGTCGTCTGCAGAGACTCACTGCTGCACCTTTAATACACAATTACTGTTTATATTTAATTTAGTTCATCATAAAATGTGGCCTGTGAAAAAGTTAAGGCACCTGCTGTATCTGATTTTTTCCAATATGTTACAAACTAACGAGTTAATATTTTGCAGAAAAATGGCATATTTAAGTTTGTTTTCTACACTCTTAAAAAAGATGGTTCTTCAGGGATTCACAGTAAAGGCTACTCCTAGTTCTATATAGAACCATTCCATGCTTCAATGTTTCTCTGCATGGTGAAAAGATTCTTTGGCTTAATAGAAAATGTGTTGTATACGGTTCTATAGAGCATCATATAGGGTTCTGATAGTATTACAAGCTTGATGCTATACAGAACCATATACAACACATTCTCCATCAGTCTGAAGAACCATTTTATCATGCAGAGAACCCTTTAATCATGCAAATGGTTCTTTGAGTGTTCATAGTTCCATATAAATGTGTAAAGATAACATTTTTACTTAGAAAGTTAACAAGACAGAATTTGATCAGAGCTGTTTAACCCTTTGCGTGCGACTGTACGTCACCAGCGAGAGGATCTCAGCTCGCAGTGAAACAGACTGCAGCGCTTCGTTATGTGTGTCCAGGAAGTCCTAAGCCCAACGTCCGCTTCACATCTGTTTAACATTTCCTGTGTTCAGCAGAGTCAGGACCAGGACCAGGATCAGGATCAGGCGAAATCATCAGTGAGAAATCACATTTAATTTAATCTAATCTGTTCCTGCCCTGATCCCAGTTTTACCAGCGTTAACGTCGTTCAGCAGAACATTCAGGCGGTTCCTCCTGCAGTTAAAGCTCTAAGCTGTGTTTTTATCTGGTGTTTTGTCTACATGCACTGATGGAACGGTGCTCTTACTCTCTGAGGGATCCGGCTGAAGGCCTGGAAGAAGATGGAGGCTTTTTCTGTCGGCATCGAAGGCACCAGTGAGCCGAGCGTAAACACCACGAGGCCGTGTTCTCCAGACCCTTCCACAAACTCCTCCACCTCCTGCAACGAGGAAAGACCATCAGCTTTTTAAACAACAGACACACACTTCAGCGCAAACTATCAGCACAGAGATGAAGAGGCTTTCACAGTCATGTGACCCTGAGGTCAGTTTTTTGATGGACAGTTGATCTTGGATGGCTTAAAGATGATTCTCCTAAAATTCCTCAGGAGAAAAAGCATCAGACAAAACAGAAACAGAGATGCAGAAGCTGAAAACTTCAGCCTTTGAGGAGGTAAAATGTGCATAAAGAACCGTATAGACGGTTCTCTGTTCTCAGAAACTAGATCACAAAACTGCTGATTCAGAAACAACAGGACTGTCTGCAGCACAAACACCGGAAAACCTGCTGGAGTTCCTCAGTTTTCACCCCAAAAGTGGAAGAGCAGGAAACACACACACACTCACACACACACACACACAGTTACCACAACAACCGCCCTACATTGAGGAGTCAGATTACTATGGGCTGTTTTGGCTGCAGTTCAACTATCAGGCCAAAAGAACACGCCGCCTGCTGTGAGGCGCGAATGAGGAACTCGCCTCCTTTTAGTGTTTCTGAATTAGAAAGAAACACTTTTAACCACACAAACCAAAATCAGCTGTGCTCAGAAAACACACTGCAGCTCCACAGCGCACAGATCCACACACTGTCCTGGGAGTGAGTTATTCACCCGATGGTGTTTACATACCTTCCTATGTAACCTGTATCCAGCATAACTATCCTGTATAATCGTCCTGCATGACTGTCCAGCATAACTGTCCTGCATGACTGTCCAGTATAACTATGTGGTATAACTGTCCTGTATTACAGTCCTGCTTGACTGTCCTGTGTAACTGTCCTGCATCAAAATTCTGCATAACCATCTGGTGTTAATATCCTGCATAACTATCCTGTCCTGTGTCACTGTCCTGCATAATTGTTCTGTCCTGCGGAGCTGTCCTGTCCAGCAGAGCTGTCCTGTGTCACTGTCCTGTGTCACTGTCCTGCATAACTGTCCTGTCTTGCATAACTGTCCTGCACGACTGTCCAGCATAACTATGTGGTATAACTATCCTGTATTACAGTCCTGCTTGACTGTCCTGTGTAACTGTCCTGCATCAAAATTCTGCATAACCATCTGGTGTTAATATCCTGCATAACTATCCTGTCCTGCAGAGCGGTCCTGTGTTACTGTCCTACATAACTGTCCTGTCCTGCGGAGCTGTCCTGTGTCACTGTCCTGTCCAGCAGAGCTGTCCTGTGTCACTGTCCTGCATAACTGTCCTGTCCTGTGTCACTGTCCTGCATAACTGTCCTGTCCTGTGTCACTGTCCTGCGCAACTGTCCTGTTCTGCAGAGCTGTCCTGTGTCACTGTCCTGTTCTGCAGAGCTGTCCTGTGTCACTGTCCTGCATAACTGTCCTGTCCTGCGGAGCTGTCCTGTGTCACTGTCCTGTCCAGCAGAGCTGTCCTGTGTCACTGTCCTGCATAACTGTCCTGTCCTGCGTAACTGCCCTGTCCTGTGTCACTGTCCTGTTCTGCAGAGCTGTCCTGTGTCACTGTCCTGTCCAGCAGAGCTGTCCTGTGTCACTGTCCTGCATAACTGTCCTGTCCTGTGTCACTGTCCTGCATAACTGTCCTGTCCTGCAGAGCTGTCCTGCGTAACTATCCTGTCCAGCAGAGCTGTCCTGTCACTGTCCTGCGTAACTATCCTGCAGCACTAACGATTCACTTACAGCAGTAAGGGGTGAACTTTCTTTGCAGTTGATCCCTCCGATGTAGACCATGTTCGGCATGCCAGGTTTGGGGAACTCAAACGTAAAGTCGTATCGGAGCAGAAAGATGGCGCCGTTGCCCAGCAGCTCCCGATACGTCACGTCTTTGTCCAGGTAGCGCGCGGCCAGCTCATCGAAGCTGCTGTACATGATCCGACAGAGCAGCAGCTCCACGATGCTCTGCAGGTAGTTCTGCAGGCGCTGGGGAAAGGTCAGATGAGCAGTGACGGTCATGCCAAATCTGGGTACATAGGAGGGAGGGGCGGGGCACTGAGCAGCCAGAGCGTCTAGTCCACAGGGCAACCCTCGCAGGAAGAAGACGGACGGGAGGCGCAAGACGGTGGCTAGGATGGTGCCACAGGGCAGGAAGGGGTCAGTCAGCACCAGATCAAAACCTTCCTGCTTCAGTTTCTCCATCAGAGTCTGGTTGTACAGCAGAGCCTCGCAGCCTCTGACCTGCGTCCGCGTGAAGAGCAGCAGCGTCTGAACATTCAGCATGAGGTCCATCAGCGGCGGGGAGCGCTGGAAGGAGCCCTGCTGCATCCCCTTCATACTGGAGGAGAGCTCCTCGTGGCCGTAGGGGACGGGGAAGGTCTGCGTGCGGATCAGCTCGGACCCCTCCAGCAGAACGCTGGTTTCTGGGACCAGCAGCAGGACTTGGTGCCCCCGCCGGGCCAGCTCTGACACCAGTACCTTCATACTCAGCCAGTGGCTCCCCTCCACCGGCACCACCAGCACCCGGCCCGCCAGCGCTGGACACACACACACACGCCCACAGCAAGAGCCCCCGGACCCACCGGCAAACCGGCCACCCCATAACTCAGCTAACACTAACTGAGCCAGAATGCAGAGAGAGCAGCTCAGAGAGAGAGGGAGGGAGGGGGAGAGAGTGAGGGAGGAGCAAGGAGGAGGGAGTCTCAAAGTGTCTGTGAGAGAGACAGAGAATATAGAGAGGAAAGAGAGGAAATAACAGAGAGAAGAGATCTAGAGACAGGGAGAGGGAAGGAGAGACAGAGAGAAAGAAGAGAAAGAAAGGACGGGAGAGACAGGGAAAGAAAGGAGAGGAAAGAAAAGAGTGATGAAGAGAGATGAGAGAGAGAGGAAAGGAAAGAGTAACAGAGAGAGGAAACAAGGGTGATCAGGTGATCAGGTGCTGGGTGGTCAAAGCTGCTGAAGTCTCTGGAGACGGTCTCGGGGCTGTTACAGTACAGACAGTCAAATGGTCCACTTAGATCAAATACAGCCAGGAGAAAAACACACAGACGCCATTATTATTATCATGATTAGCTGCTGTGTTTGCAGGTGTCTCAGCTCACTGGCCTTCAAACAGGCAAAGTAAAAAAGCTCCTCCCCCAGCTCACCCAAACCCCGCCCCCCTCTGCACTCCACTGACCTCTTGCAGCTCCTCCACCGTGCTCGCGTGAGAAAGAGAGTGCCCCTGCTTCCTGTTCATACACCCACCCACCCCCAAACACACACACACACACACACACACACACACACACACACACAGGCTGGTATGTGATCTGAGAGACTCTGAGCGACTCCAGCTTCACGGTTTCAGGCTCTGCAGTGAAATGTGAAGCTGGAATTCCCCTCAGCCGAAAAGCTCACTGTGTATTTTGAAGAGTAACAGCAGATCAGCCTGTTTAACCATGTTCAATCAGTCTGTCAGCAAATTTCCAACGTTTACTGGTGTTTCAGAAAGTTAGTTTAGTTTATTTAAAACACTCTGACTCACAATCCAATGATCCAGTTTTGCAGAACACATAATAAACACTACAAAACATTTAAAATAATAAATATATATGAACATATACACAGATCCATATTCACACTGCAGTGAACTAAACCGCCTGATGGAACAGCGGAGTTTCTCAGTTTCTTAGTTCTTGCGTGCACAAGTGACAGCAGGAGACGCCCGGTTCTCTGTCCCTTATTGGGAGGACGGCGGTCGTGTAAAGGATGACCGGGCTGATGGACGTCACAATTCTGATGACTCTTTATTGAATTCTCCATAGCTGCTCCATGCACTTCAGGACAGCAGAGAGGATTCATTCTCTCTCTCTCTCTCTCTCTCTCTCTCCTCTAACACCTCTCTCTCTCAAGTTCATGTTCAAGTTCAAGTTCGATAGTGCTTTATTGGCATGAATGTAATGAAATACACTGTTGCCAAAGCAGTTAATAAGAAACACATAAAAATAAGAAAAAGATGATATACTAGATCATAATAGAACACTAGAAAATATGTTATTTACAGGGTTATTAGTAAGCAAAAAAAAAAAAAAAGGGAAAATAAGAGTCAAGACAAATTTCATAAATATATAATAATCCTTCAGGTTGTGACAGGCGGTCATGTATCTCGCTGCGTGTGTGGTCAGCTCGCTCTTCTCTCCCAACACGTACGGCAGTTTCTCAGAGTCACTGCAGAGCACTCTCTCTCTCTCTCTCTCTCTCTACCCTCACACCTCTCTCTCTCTACCCTCACACCTCTCTCTCTACCCTCACACCTCTCTCTCTCCCCTAACACCTCTCTGTCTCTCTCTCTACCCTCACACCTCTCTCTCTCTCTCTACCCTCACACCTCTCTCTCTCTACCCTCACACCTCTCTCTCTCCCCTCACACCTCTCTCTCTACCCTCACACCTCTCTCTCTCTACCCTCACACCTCTCTCTCTACCCTCACACCTCTCTCTCTCCCCTCACACCTCTCTCTCTCTCTCTACCCCCACACCTCTCTCTCTCTGTCTTTCCTACCAGTCCAGTCTCTCTCTCTCTACCCCCACACCTCTCTCTCTGTCTTTCCTACCAGTCCAGTCTCTCTCTCTCTACCCCCACACCTCTCTCTCTCTGTCTTTCCTACCAGTCCAGTCTGTCTCTCTCTCTCTCACCAGTTTCTCTCTCTACTCCCACACCTCTCTCTCTCTCTGTCTTTCCTACCAGTCCAATCTCTCTCTCTCTGCTGCATGCTGGGAGTGGGCGGAGCGTTGGCGAGTGTGTGTGAGTGAGCGGTGGTGTGTGTGAAGGAGAGTGTGTCTTTTCTTTTTCCTAGTTTTTCCCTGGTTTTGGGGGTTTTCTATATTTCTGACTGGTCACTCTTCACTGTAGGCCGTTTTAACCGCCAAGGGCGGCGAGTGGGTGAGTCATGGCGTCTCGCCTTTCGGGGGGGACGCCGTCTCTCTCCCGCTCGAACGGGTTCTGGTGTGTCCCGCCGGCTGAAGCAGCAGTCAAGGACGTGCTGCTCG